CTGGTTTTTGCTTTGCAGGGGGGGATGGTGCGTCCCTGCGCTCCTGCTTGGTGTCTCTGTGGCCTCTTGTCCTGGATTGTGAGACGTGGAGATGTCACAGGGCAGAAATGGATCCATGGATCCATTCGGGGGGGAGCATCGCTACGTTGGTGTGTGTCAGGGCTGTCCCCAGCGGTGGCAGCTCTTCTGCTGACGTTTGGAGGGGCTCATCTTCCTGGGAGCAGCTGACGCCCCTGTCTCCTTCATTCCAATTTGTAGGGTGGATCTGGCCAACGCAACCAACCCAGCACCATGCAGCAAAAGTCTCAGGCTACCAAAACCGCCTATGGCACTTCTCCATACTGGACAAACTAAATCCGAAACCGGGGAGGGAGGAGAAAATGAAAGGAGAGGAGGAGGAAAAAAAAAAAAAAAAGGAAAAGAGAAAAAGAAAAAAAAAGCCGAAGCCCATTCCTGGAATTCAAAGGAAAAATAACTGCTCAGCCAAACGTCTGTGCGGGGAGAACTGCAGCCAGCCAGCCAGCCATCCTCTGTGTGACTCGCCCGCTTCCTCTTTGAGTTGCTGTTGTATGTAATATATTTATGTATGTATTTGTAAATGTAATAGAGCCTAAATGTGGTTTTCTGCATCTTGCAGCCTTTTTATTTTCTTTGTAGGAAAACTAATTATTCATTTCCCATCTGCACCAGGGCATCCTTCCTTTTTTTTTTTTTTTTTTATGTAACTCTGTCAATGAGAAACTGAGCCATTTTTATGGAGCTGGAGCCCATTTATTTAATGCAGTTCTAAATTCAGGCAAAGAAGGAGGCCTGTCCCCCCAAAAAAACTGAAAAAAGATGTGTCCTGTTGGTTTGATTTCTGCCCTCAGCACCCAATATAGCTGTTACTTTAAAGAGAAAAAAAAAAAAGGAAGAAAAAAAATGTTTTGTGGGCCTTCCCCTTTCTTTTGTCTCTCCCCTCCCTCCTGCTGCGGAAGATAACTCTCATGGGCAGTTTGGTCACTGTGGCTCTGAACTGCAGCCTCACCTTTTTATTTTTAAATTTTAGAATAATTAAAAAAACCCCAAAACACAGGGGTTTATTTTTTTTTGTTTGGGGTTGGGTTTTTTTTGTTTGTTTCTCTAGCAAGAGACTTTGGATGGCTCTGTGTCCTGGAACCTCCTTTGCATCATTAAAGGCAAAAACTATGTAGCGGTTTCTTAAATAAAAGTATAAGCTGTGTCTTGTACCTTTTTGCCATGAGCCACCCTGCCAAGGAAAGCCAGAACTGCTGGATGGAAACTTCACCTGTCCCTCCCCACTTTTTCTAAAACAAAGACCCTGGAGGCAACTCCTGGTTCTTCTTGTCCTGCACCACTGCAGTGAATGTTTTAGGAGTTTTTTCTTTTTAGCCCTTCCTCCACCTAATAAAGATCTGAGCATACCACTGGTGTTTGTCTGCATTTTCAAAGGTTGCAGGAGCAGTTTTACTTTGGCACCCTGTCCCTTCCCACCTGCTCTTGAGGCAAGCGCTGGGCTGGGTGGGTGAGCAGCAGCACGTGAGGCCGAATACTCTGACAAAGGTGAGTGCACCTCGGTGGTGCGTGCTCACGGGCACCTGCAGCGGGGGTGGGATCCTGGGCAGCACCCTGGCTCCTGCCAGCAGTGTCTCCTCTCTGCCTTGGGTGTCCTGGGGCAGGTGGGAGGTGTGAGGAGGGAGCACAGCTGCAGCGCTGCCCTCCCTCACTGTGCCCCGACCAGGAGGAGGGTCAGTGGTGAGGGCTCCTGCCCCCCACTCATCCTCCTAAGCATCCAGGCCCTGCGCGGCAGTGGAGGTGGGTTAAGTGTGAAGCTGTCTGTGTCCATGCAGCAGGAGAGGGGCTTGTTTGCGTTTCCCAGTCCTGTTTCAAGACCTCCAGGAGGAAAAAAAAAAAAAAAGTTTCTACCCTGAGAACCACTTTTCTTTCTTAGAGTCACACTTTAAGCAGCTCTTGGGTCCTGACAACCCAGCTAGTTTGGAAGAAGTCAGCACATCACCCAGCCCTCTCTGTACCCCGCAGCAGCACAGCATCAGCTGCACCGGCCCTCCTCTGCCCCAGCTCGGATTTTGATACTGGTAAACATGAGCGGCTGCTGCTGTCCCCCTGCTGCCAGCTTTGGGGCCTGCATGTCAGTGAGGCCAAAATTGTTTCTGCAGGCTGAGGCCTTGCGGCCAGCTCATGCGCCAGCAGCTGAGCCCACGGCACCTCATTTACTTGTATTCGGAGCTGCTGCCTGACAGGAGCTAGTCTTTGAAAAACAAACTTCCCCCGAAGACATCCTCCCATGCTTCGTTATTTGTTTATAGAAAACCACTGCTGCCCCATGGGTGTAGGACTTTCCTTGCTTGTGTGTCAGGGTCCAGAAGCAGCTGAAAGTGCAGCAATTTCTCATCTGTTCAAGCTGAGCCAAAGTTGCTGAGCTGCACTTGCCCATCAAGGAAAGGGGGGGTGGAAAAAAAAGAATTGTGCAGAGGTCAGGGTGGGCTGGAGAGTTTATCCTGCCTTTGGTGCCACACCTGGCAGCTCTGGGCAGGAGATGAAGGCCAGCCTGACCCCATCAGGAGGTGCGGGTGGCACCATCGCTCCCAGACCCTGGGAACGCAGCACGGGAATGCCACCACCACTCCTCCCGCACGGCTGCGAAGCCAGAGGGCTCGGGCCACAACCCCCCCCTTGACTCAGCAGTTGCTGTGCTGCAAACGATGCCAAGTGCAGCGACTGCAACTCTTGTACACTTGTCCCGCTAATTTTAGCTCGAGCGCAGTGAGGCACTGTAAAAACAAACCTCGCTGCTCTTGAGCTTGCAGGGAACAGCACGGGTCAGAGCCCCCACTGCTCTGCCGGGGAACTGGCCAACAGCAGCCCCACAGCCACCAGCAGCTCTGCGCCCCGCCCCGACCGTAAACCGTGATCCCACTGGTCCCCCCTCTGGACTTAGGAAGATGGTAATAGCAAAGCCCAGGGGCTTTTGCCAAAGTACTTATCTAAACCAGTTTGCTCTTTAGTCAGGCTGTATAGTGCCCATTCTGTAAACAAAGGAGAAATGAATGAATAAATCTTTTTACAGGTATGTTTGATTTTCTGAACTTGTGAACAGCTCTTCTGTAAATCTTTAAGTAACCCATACAAATAAACCAGCCCAATTAACAGGGAAGTAAAAGCACAGGGATATTTTCATTTCACATTTTTATTAGTAGACAGATGTGCAGAAAAGACAAAATATAACTACTGAAGGGGGAGACAACACAAAAAATGCATCAGTTAATTCTTTCTGGTAAATTATACTGAAGAAAAAAAGGAAAACAGTTGGGACTTCAGCTAAGAAAACTACTAAGAAATCTAGTGTACCCTGCTGGTTTCAGAATGGTTGAAAACTGCATTTGAAGGGGCTTGTAGTTGCAAATGTAAACGCTAGTATTGGCCGAGACATGAGAAAAGGGTTAAGAAAAAAAACAGAATACACAGATCAGGTAAACATTTTTCCACAATCTCTTAAATAGTTTCAAAAAAACCCTCATACTTCAGTTTGTATCTCAAAGAAAGGAAACCAGCAAGTCAACAAGCAATGACACTGCACGGGACAGCAGAGAAGAGAAATTTGTCTGGTTTGTGTAGGCGCTCTCAAAATAGGTTGCTTTTTACCTTTAAAAAAAGGAACAGAAGAGTCATGGTAATGCATCTTACAACACCAAGCTTGAAAATACAAGTCACTGGAAAGTATACAGTGAAGACGGTCAAAAGTACAAGGGAGATCCTGAAAGATGCAGTATCCTCATTTCAAACCAAGCCATCAGCACAGCCAGCATTGCCACATTCTGCTCCCTCACCCCCAACAGCCCCCTCAAAGCTGGAATTTGTTGACCCCATCCCACTGTGGCCCCAAGACCAGTCCTGCAAGCAGGAGGCCCAGGGACCCCTTTGCCAACTCTGGCGCTGCCATTGCAGGGCTGGAGCGAAGCTGGGTGTGCCCCACACCATCACTAAATGCAGGGGAGCCCTGCTGACAGCTCCAAAAAGCACCAGGGGCTGAGGGTAACATGCAAGCAGGCGGGCAGACCATGGCAGGAACACAGGGCAGGGTGGGGACGGACGGCAACACACAGGGTATCAGCACTTGGGCTGCCTTTATCCCACAGGGGCTGAGGGATGCACCACCAGCACCCCCTGGGCCACAGCAGCAGTGACTGTCCCGGCTCAGCAAATCCCAGGCAAGCAACATTTTTAAAACACACACACCTGCCTTGCTCACTTCAGCGTCCCATGAGCCGTCTTCCCTTCCTCTCCCTCCAGGCAGCACACTTGGAGCTGGCTGACTCTCACCCCGCTCCTCACCCCAGGACACAGCCACCCAGCCGACCGAGAACAAAGTCTACTCCCAACAAATCAGCCCTTGAGGGATCATAGCTGGCGACGTACCGTTGAAAACCCTGAGATAGACAAAAGGGAGGGCATGAACAAATGCCCCAGCCTGCAGCTCCTATCAGGGTAACCGCCTCTGTACCTGTGAGGAGGGTCTCACTCGAGCAGGGCGAGCCTGAGCTGCTCCTGCAGGGGCCAGTGCCCAGCACATGAAGGCAGGGCTGGCTGCCAAGCGCAGGATCATGCAGAAGGTGAATTCAGAGCACTGCAGCCCAGAACAAGAGGAGCACGCTGCAACAGCGGTAAGGGGCCGAGGGTTCTGCGGACACGAGCATGCAGGGTCCCACCTACCCACAAGGGAGGCCACTAAGCTCTGTCAAGAGCTCCGAAAACATGCAGGATGCCTGGCTCAGCGGAACAGCTGAAGCATGCTGCTAAAATAGCCCATCAAACCCCACTGCTGGCCTTCTCTTCCAGGCCAGAAGCACTGCATAGCCCTCCCCAGGCAGGAGTCTAGCACACATCCCCACTGCCATAGCTGGCACTGGGACAGCCTGGCCACCCCAGGCAGGCACAAAAAAGCAGCTTTGACTTCTGCCCACCTCGCAGAGCCCACAGAGCTACAGCAGGGCTGAGCTTCCAACACATGACCAACATGTCAACAGAAAAAGGCTCAGGCCAGCACTGGACTTGGGCTGCAGGAGGCAAGAGCTGCTAGCAAGCACTGGGGCAGGAGGCTATTGGTCTCTCCCACTGCGAGAAAGAAGTTCAGGACAAATGCTGGCCTGCTGGACAGGGGGATGCAGGTCTGTTCTCTTTCAGGAGAGGGGCAGATGGCAACAGATCTCAGACTTTTTCAATCAGATCCAGGCTTTTTCAACCCTAACCTAGTCTGAAAAATAAAAACCCCAGGCCTCAATTGTACAGACGTGAAGTGTAAGTGTTTATTTTAGGATTCATATCACAAGCCTTTTCCAAAGACAAAGCTGACTGTGCCCTCTGCGTCTCCAGGGGCCAGCTATTTCCTAACTTGAGCAGGCTGAAAAGGAATACTGTACCTTTCAGTGACATCCCATCAAGCTTAACACACAGTAGCTTTACACTCTCCGCCCCACACCTTATAAAGGAAAAGCCACCACCACAAGGCTAAACGAATGTACACACGCTATTATTGTAAATGGAGCAGCTAAACCTTGGCAATTTGCTTTGTGTGGATTTTTTTTCTTCCCAGTAAATGCAGCACTTGAGCTCCCAAAACCCCAGCTTCCAATGTGTTTGTTCCAGCTTTAAATACATTAAACACCTCAATGCAAGACTGTTTTTTATTCAAGAATCTAAACGCGAGCAAACCTGTTTCGCTGTGAGCATTTCGTAGAGAAGTTAAAAGGGGAGTTTCTTTCTTAAAAAGAAATGATACAATGACAAAAGGGTTAAAAATGCAAGAATTCAGACATTCTGTGGAGGGTCTCTAAAAGGTCCATAAAAAAGGAGCAAACAGATCCATACAACAGGAGACAGCAGGAGACAAAAAGTGTTTGTTTTTTTTTTTGATCCCCCCCCCACACTTTTTTGCTGGACTGCTGCTAGGTTACCGCTGCTCCCTTCTGGCCTGAGTTGGCAGGGCAGTACAGGGGCATAGAGGGAGCAGGTCACGACTCCTCGTTGCCAGAATCATCATCATCGTAACAGTCGGCATCCTCCTCCTCCTCGTCTTCATCATCAATGTCGTCATCATACAAGTCGTCGTAAAGCAAATCTGAACTGTTGTCATTGGAAGGCACTTTAGTTTTGATGCAGTACTCTGCCAGTGTAGTGGGGACCTTCACGCCATCCTTCTCTGCCTCAGCTTTGGTAGCCAAAACCTGTTTCCTGCAGGGAGGAAGACACAGCAGCGTGAGCAGGGCCCTGTGCCAGCAGCAGCATGGCTCCACTCCCCACCTCCAGGCCAGCCCCAGCCTAGCCCTGCTGGCAGCCCACAGTCAGGAGAGCTGATGTTTGGCGGAAGCGACACAAGCAGCTCTAGAAAGAGATTCAATTCCCACAGCCCTGGGGCTTGGGAGCGCTCCAAGGGTGTTGACAGCACACACGCCCTCAGCAACACATGAAATCAGTTACTCTGCAGGGCTCTGCGTTAGAGACCCGGCAGCGCTCAAAGCAAATTTTACGGCATTTGGTAGAGAGGGGTGGTCAGGAATTTCCTAAGGTGACTCCACCACTGGTGACTCTACTCAGTGTGCTCAGAACTGCAATTCCCAGAAGCATCTGGCAGGTCTGAGCTCCCACCAGAGGGTAAGAGCAGTTGGAGCACGGCAGCCGTCACCCCGGCGCTGCCTGGGGCTGGCAGAAGACAAGCGATTCCCATCACCCCGGGACAGGCTCTGGCTGCTGCCTCCCGGCAGCGCTCGGGCTGTCGGCGGCTGCTGGCCCGTGCTGCCTCCCAGCAGGGAGAGGAGCAGATGGCAGCCCGTCCCTCACCCCCGCCCGCCTGCTTGTCAGTCTGCCATACTCCGTTCATGGACTCCATCCAGCGCCGCTGAAGCCAAGGGAGCTGGAGGGGACTAAGATAACCTCCCAGCGAGGCTCCTCGCACCGACCGACTGCCCTGCGGGGTCTATCCTGCAGCCCAGCCAGCGCCAGAGCCAGCGCAGATGGGGCCTCACCCCCTGCCCCGGAGCAACCCCGGCTCAAGTTTACATCATCCCCCTCCAGCACCCGATGAACCCCCAACTTCTCAGCAAAGGACAGTCAAGCCCAAACAGCACTTCCAGCTAATCAAACCCAGCTTCGCAAGCACTTGCCAAATCCTGCTGATTCTCCTTCGAATTGGAGGGACAAGATTAGGATTCATGAATGCCTTAAGCACAGAATTAGCAGGATACAGTCAGTTTTAACCACATCCCAAGTAATGCAGGCAGTGCTCAAAGGCAAGAGGGGACTTTGGGATTTACTAGCAGCTGATAGGTTTCGCAGATTAGACTGAAAAACGAATAGTTTAAAGACAGATCAGCCCAGTCCTCCTGCTCCAGAAGTCTGCACAGCTCCTGTGTGCTGAAAATCCTAGAGGGACCAGAAGCGTGGACTTGGAATAAGATGGTAAAATTCATTTCCAAAGAAGCAACCACAGCAAGAAGCTGGTTTCAGCAGATTTTGCAGGCAGCCTGTTTAACAGGATTCAAAGCAGGAGGCTGGTAGCACAGCACCACTCACGGCAAAGCTTACCTTATGATTTCAGCATACTCCTTGTCTTTTCCTTTACTGTCCCTCCATTTCCTGAACATGACTGATGCATCCACATTGGCAGGAGAGAATGTGTTGGGCTCATTAAGCAAAGAGATTACACTCAGTAAGATAGTCCTGAAAAAGGTAACCAGAACAGCAGTCAGAGCTAACGCATTCACAGCTTCTGGATGCCCATGACTTCTTTATGTGGTACATCAGAAACTTGTTTGAAGCCAAAATTTAAGCTAAGGATAACTAAGGATAACATCCGAGGCGAGAGCAGATTATATATGAACTTCAGACTCTGGCCATGGGTGTAGGGAAGGCAGCACAACACAAACCTCAAGGATCTTCCCTGACTACAGACCATCATGTCTGCAGCAGGCAAAGTAGGATCAGACCAGAATTTGTCTTGTCTGCACCACCCATGGATGGTGCAGGGATGGACAGCTGCTTTGTGAGACTGTTCCTGGTGACATGCAGCCTCCCAGCAGAAAGCCAGGCTCTCTGCCTGCCCTGTGGAGGGAGAAGGACCACCACGACCTAAGGCCATTAGAAAAGGCTGCACTGCTTTCCCTACTCCAGCTGGTGTCTGGAGGTCAAAGCTGTGGGCAGGTCTCACCTCCCCTCAGCTCCTTACATCACTATGGCTGAGCACAGCAAAGGGACGACAGTGCAGATGTTTTTCAATACCCAGGGAGGCCACCAAGGGCCCAGCAGGATTCAGCTGCTGGTACTCAGCAAAACCAGCACAAGCCAGCCATGTAGCCCCCGTCAGACAGACAGCCTTCCTGGATTTCTAGCAGCAGCAGCACAGACACCCCACTCCACTGTCCACTTACCAGGGACAAACACCACCTCCCTCACCCAGACCTTTCTGCATTTCCTACAACCCTTTGCACTCCAGCCATTCAGCCCTTTGCTCCTCACACAGTGCCACAACTGGCACAAAACTCAACAGCAAGTCCCATCAGTCAGCTCTAAACCCCCAGCCGGCTGGGGGCAGCTACCACTGCAACAGCTTCATGTGTCCAGGGTCATCCTGCTAGCAACAGCCTTACTTAAGTGGAAGGGAAGAACAAGAGACAAGGAATAAGTCTTGAAATACAGCAGAACATAGCAACTTCTCTGCAGAGCTTGATTAAAGGACACTACAGCCTCTGCTGTACTTGCACTGATTGAGGGGCACATGCTGGGCACATCTATCAGAACATATATCTGGGATACAACTCCAGAAAATGCTTGGTCATTTGGATGCTGAGTTTCTTTAAGGGTTTTGAAACTAAACACTTGTGGCTGGCCAGACTGTTCAGTACAGCTATCAGGAAAGTCTTGTACAACTTATTTTCTAAATTACATAATTCAGTAGGAAAAGAGAACATGCAGCTCTGGGAGAAAAAAAAAAAACAACACACTCTGGTCAGAGTGAAATGAGGGCAGAAGAGAGACTGTTTTCTACTTCATCTCAAGAATTCATTTAAAAGACTCTGATTCTCAGCAAACAGGCTGTAAAGCCAGCATGTCAGCTCCAGCATCACTGCAGACACTTTACTGTAGAGCAAGCAAAGTCTAGGGAAGGCTGAGGACAGAAATTCATGTCTGGATTTAACATCTGCTTCACCACACTTCCATCAACAAAGTAAGGAGAAGGCAGTTTCCACTGTGGTGGCCTGGACGCCAGAGTCACTGCAAAGCTGCTTAAATACACCAAGGCAACTGCCTGCTGGAGGTGAGGCCTCTGCACTCCTTATTCCCAACCAGCACGTTAGATTAGCCCCATCACTGCTGATACCTTAAAGAGCTGGACAGTCTGCTCTGACTCAAACCCTGCTACTAAATCCTCTTTACTCTGTGGGTAAATGAAGTAAACAAGGTACAGTAAGAGGAAGGGATCTCAGCACATGGGATCTGACAAAACCCAAACCATGAAAAAAGTTGTTCAACCCACACGGGACTGAAAATATCCTCAGCATTGGAAACAAACTGCACTGGACTGGATACAGTCCGAGCCTCTGCACTCTTGTCAGGGATCTGTCTCAGGAAAGGTTGTTCTAGCAGGTTGTTTCAAGCAAGCTGATTGTATTAAGACGGGATTTCAAGCCTGCCTCCTGCTTTCTAACATCCCCCGTTCTAGGGAACAGTGAACTGTTTTAAATGTTTACAATGCTGCTGTCCTCATAGTGAGTCCCTCTACATCCCTTTACCAGCAGAGGAGAGCAGTCAGCAGAGGCTTAAGGAAGCAGACCCGTTAAGGGCCTTTTTCTCTCCGTGCAGTATCAACAGAAGGCTCACAGTTGAATTCCACCCAAAACTGACATTGTGTAGACTGGCTGGTGCTCCCAACCAGCACACGCTCTTATATACCTTGTTGAATAAAGGTAAATATTTTGTTCCATTTGTTATACACACTTGAGCCTCTCAGAGCCACCTTTAGAGGTAGGTATAGATTTCTCGTAGCATATTTTTGCCCTCAGGGTAAAGTAAGAAGTTTTGTCTCAGGCTGTACCAACAGCCATGTCATGCACTGAGCTGGTTGCAGAAACTGTCTAGATCTTAGGCAGCTGAAAAAAAAAAAGACAACAGGGCATCCTCAGGAAACAAAGCAGTACTGAGACAGGGCATTGCTTATCTTCACAAGATACAGGTGTACCAACATCTTGAATACTGTGCTCAGTTCCGGCCAGTGCACCTCAAAGGACAGACACCTTCACCCTCACAGGGAAGACAGGGGAGATATGAAGAAGGGCGACTAAAATGATCAAAGTGCCTCAACTCTAAGCCCTGCCACCACTTCCTCAACTTTATGGGACTCAGGACAAGAAGAGCATTCTCTGCCACACAGATCACAGCTGCATTCCTTTACATCTTGCTAGATGTTTGCCGTATTTACTTATGCCTGCCTCATCTAGCTCCAAGTGATGGAAAAGTCCATATTGACTGTGTTTAAAAAAAAAATAATGAGCACTCTTGACACCATTAGAGGTGGAAGCACAGGTGCTCTCGAAGTTGAGGACATTACCCCCCTCCAGACACTTCGCCAGAGTCACATGTAGTAAACAGCCAATACTCGGCAAGACTGACAAAATTCAGAAGCCCTAGGTTACACAGGCAGTTCATTACAAGCATGCTGCCCCCCCACACCTCCAGCCCTGCTGCCTCCTGTCTGACACTCTGGAGCCTCGCAGAGCCAGACGGGAGCCCAGCAGGACATGTTTCTGTCGGCACTTAGCCCAACGGGTGATGCTGGTAACAGGCTAGCAGTTAAGGACAACTTTTATTTCCACTGATATAGCTGAGGAATGTCTCTTCCCCAAACGTAACCCTGAAGCTCAACACATTCCAAGAAAATAAGGACCAGAAACTGCACTGTGGTAAGGGAGAGCAGAAGTCAGAGCAACTAGCACCGTGAGAATTTTCATGTCAATTTTTAGGGTCATATATAATTAAATACTCAAAATGTGTGTGCAATATAAGTAATTAATGCCCAAAGCTGTTTCCTAAGTAAGTTGAGGCTTGTCACTGAGTCAGTTCTTTATTGGCAGTGTCTTGTAAAGAGAATGAATTTCAGATGGTATTTCAAAAAAAATTGAGAGGTTAGCCTTGAATGCCTTTGGTACTTAGTGATTCTTTGGGGTTTTGGCAAGAAGAAAATCACCTGGCTAACTGCTCAAGATCACACTGCAGGACAGGAGACAGAGACAAATACTGGAAAGCAAACAGTAGGCAGGATTATGCACAAAGTTATTCCCTACTGGACCTGAATACTCAAAAATGTTCTTTTCCACCAGTGGTATCCTGGATGAGTTTTAAAAACTTAAGTGTAGGATAACAGGAAGTGGGAAAGGCTAGAACACTTGAGACAATTTGCTTTGAGAGCATGGAACACTGTGAAAAGACAGAAGGCTCCACGTTGTTAGCCCAGTATCAGGACACACAGCACACCAGTATCTCCAGACAGCTTGGTAGGTCTAGTTCCTCTTCAATTCACACCCCCAAACCCACAACATTTTAAATTCCCTTCCAAAACTCTCCCAACACAGGCCTTAGTCTTGGAGAGGGGTGATAATGCCTTTGAGGTCACTGTTGTACATCAAATTCACAGTTACCTGACATTTTGAGTAGGGTTCCACCTCTCAGATGGCAGCTCTCCACTTTGTGGGTCATCTACAGGTGGATGAAGAATTGAAATACATACATCTCCATTCTGCAAGACAGAAACAAAAGTTGAGGATAGCCTGGCTTGAGGCAGAGGTCTGACGACTCAACTCCACCACTCTGGCTATGTTCTGAGCAGTTTAACCTCGTTGGTACGGACACTCCAAGTACCAGTGAAAATATGCAAGAACTGGAAATGGTTCTCAATTCTTCCTGGGTCTACTCTATTTATATGCTTAGAAGTTTCCCTGGCTAAACAGGGTTAGTCTGCAAATTGGTACAAAACAATCTCAAGTCAGTTTTTAAAATATGTAGCAAAGCAAGCAAAAATAGTAATGAAGTAACATAAAACTAAATTGGTCTTCAGATAGCAAGTACTGTCAAGTGACAGAAGTGAGCTTTAGTCACAGCAGACCCAAAGTAGGGTTAAATTATTTTTTTTGTTGTTCCCAGCAGTAACTGAGTTAGCTACAGGGATTTCTGAATTGAAGGGTTTAACACTCCACTAGCTCAGGTATCAAAAGAACGCTTCTCTGAGGACACAAGGAGGTTGAACAGATGGCTTGGGGCCGGCTTACACTGCTCTCCTAGGACACAGCTGTTTGAAATATCAGGTGAAAAAGCAGGAGATGCTCTCTGAAGGTTTCACTGAAAATCCCTTCCAGCATGCAAGAGGTAGAATATTCTGGCAGCATATGGAAGCCATACAGCCACGTAATCCTCAATCTGTGTTTTACTCACCAGTGTTATAGCCTGAATATAGATTTAAAGCTCCGTAACGCCGACCATTTATAAACACTTTAAGAAGCCTGTAAAACCAATTCTCCATCAGCAACAGCACTCTGACACCATTACTCTGTAGAAGTGCTGTAGCAGTATTCACCACAGCTGATATTCACCACTGAAGTCAACTCTAGGGACTCATGAGGTCCCGGGGCCTTACTGCAGGATGGGGTGAAGGTACAGAGAGCGCCCAAGGCCAGCCAGCAGATGTTGGCCTCTCCAGGCTCTGCTGGCTTGCTGCCTCCTGCAGCCCGCTGCTGGGATGACTTACAAGTTCCTAGAGGCAGCCCCCCACACCTTCAGGTGGCATAGCCTCAGCCGATGGGCAGCGCTCACACTGTCCTTGTCACCTGCACCCAGGGCACAGGTTGATGACAGGAACAGGAGAGAAGCTGCAGATTAGTTCTGTTTGCGATTGCAGGCTGGCAGCTCCCCTTGCACCTGGTCTCAGCTACATCCTGAGGACCCTCCAGCGCTGCTCGACACAGAGGATCCAGAGCACAAAGCAGTGCTGCCCACAGCAATAGCATACATACCTTTGAGCCCGAGCCAGTGATCACAGCTACAGATAGCAGCAGCAAACCCGAGGGGCCTCCCAAGCATTTCAACTCACCTTGATTAACAATGACATTTGTTTTATAGCCCAACGAGATCTTACTTCAACACTGGAGGCCTGTGATCAGTATCCAGATCTCGGCGGCTCAGCAACCCTGCCAGGTATGCTAATCTAGCAAGTCCTCATCATTTTGAAGCAGGTTTTTGTCAAGAACACAACTACACACAGCAGCATAGCACCTGGAGCTGCTGAATACCCAAGCACGCACTTATGTTGCTGGAACAGTTTGCCATAACAAGGCAGTTTCCTTTTTAGGACTCCAACAGGCCTGTGCAATTTAGAAATATTTTATAATTTTAAGATGAAGTTAACCATACTAATGTTAGATTATATTCACAACTTAATTCTTGTTTTATTAATTTTCCATGAATTTACCCAGTTTTTCCTTTAACCATCGGCTGGGATACAGTGCTGGTGTCCAGAAGAAAGCATCACAGCACTTGGGGGAAGTTTCTTGAGCAATCAGATCAGCAGCATGTGGACGAGCAGGTATTCGGAAATATGAAAATAGAGGGAAGCAAGGATAATATGAAAATATATAGAGGGAAGCAAGGATGTGAGAAGTTTCCCTCAACAGTCAATGTTACATGCCTGGGAATGTAAGCAGGGCAGCACTGCATTATGGAGTCTGGAAGGGCAAAGGTGTCATGGGGCCTGGTGAGATCAGCACCAGGTTTTAGGGATCAGCATAGTCTGGGGAAGAGCCTCTCCCTACATTAATTTATAAGAAGATATAAACAAGGAGAACAGGGCATTCACCTGCCAACGGGAAACAGCCTATGCCTCTATTAAGACTGAAAACTGTTATGTCAAAAATAAGAACAGATTAATGCAGTTTTACCAAAATTCAATTAGATGACCCAAGTAAACTGGAGATGGGGAAACACATACGTTACTCAACCCTGACTTCTCAGAACTGGAGTGTCAGCCCCAACCTAACCATCCAGTCCCACCAGAAGATTCTGTAAACTGCTACTGTCTTTCATCTTCCTTGCACTAAAAGATTTTTTTCTCCTCCTGACAAAGCCTCAAACCTCAAGACCTTTGCTGATTTATTCTCAGTTTCATTTGGAGTTATCCCAGTGCCTCATCTTCACTGCTTAAATGTTGTTTCCAAAACAGCCTGCAAGCTGCTTCAGATTCCCTTAGCTCCAAGAAATAGTGCTATGAACATAAAGTACAAAGCTGAGAGCTGGAGTATTTGAAGAGTAACCCCAAAATACACCCATCAAGTTTTGGGTTTCTCCTCCTACCTTCAGTTGTTTCTAGAGCCAATTTTTCATCTTTCCCACCAGGATTGGGAGAGCTCCTTTCCAAGACTCATTTTGTACATATCATTTTGGTAACTATTTCCCACTCTCCTCCTGCATGAGAATTTCTGGATTCAGAATCAACATCCACAGTATGGATCTGCAGTAATCTGCAGGTCTCAAAGTTGTCTTTATTTATAGATCAAACTCCCATGTAACTGAAATAGACCCTTAACAAGAAACATCATCCCTGGCTACATGCAATATTCTGTGCCAAGTCCAAAACTCAAGTGAGAAGACTGTCAGATGACTGATTTTAGGATGTCACTGGGCTTAGGGCAATCCTCCTGAGCATCTAGTAATTAAAGTGATTACTATCCTGTTCTGCACTGTAGTTTAGAGTCTTTTGGCCATTCATTACTAAGCCATCAGTGTGTTTTTCACTATGATATTTTGTGCTGGGTTTGTGTGACAGGGTTTTCGTTAGTGGAGGAGGGATGAAGGCGAAGAGTCCTCTCCCCTAAGAAGGAAGGAGGAGGGGACTGACCACAACCCCCATTCCCTGTTCCCTGTGCCTCAGGGGGGAGGAGGCAGAGAAACTGTGAGCAAAGCTGAGCCCAGAAAGAAAGGAGGCATGGGGGGAAGGTGTTTTTAAGATGTGGCAATGCTTGTCACTGTCCCACACTGTCTGCTAAGTGCTGCTGCTGTTACTGTTTGAAGTGATATTTTTTTTTTTCTAACCTTAAGGAGTGTGTCTTTTGCCATGACTATAACGGGTGAGTGCCCCTTCCCTGTTCTTATCTCAGTTTCTAAGCCTTTATTTTATTTTTTATTTCCCATTCCTGAGAATGAAAGAGTGAGTGGTGCTCAGTTTCACTCTGGGCTCAAACCACCACACATATGAAGCACACTCATTCCAGGCTGGACATTTAGTAGCAACAACCTGTTAGAAAAGGGTCTTCCAAGCCCAAGACATCAACTGAAGCCATCATTTGCTTGCAGCAAGGAAGAGAAGTGTCATTCTTGTTCTGAAGTGGGCCCAAAGGAAGTCTGCAGAACCTCTCATAAGAAGATCTATGATAAGGTGATAAAGCTGCACCAACAGGAACAGTCTGAAAGGCCTTTAGCTCTTTGAACTGTTCAACCAGTACTCCTAGGAGGTTGACACTTGTCTAGTATATCCAAAAGGATTTTACTGCCATGCACTGAAAGTGAAGTTTTGAGCCAAAACAGGCCTTCCAATTTCAAATACAGCAATATGAAATTTGGTAATTTTGAACCGATTGCTTCTATATAAAATAATTCCCCTTCTAGATCTGCTATGTAGTTGTACCATTCCCGTTATGTTGTACATCCAATTATGGACCTGAAAGCCCACAGCATTACCCTCTGAATGTGAGCTATGTGTGCACTGAACTATAGGCCACTTCAAACTGGCTACCAGACAGCAAGCATGGAGATATCTGTTCGCTTTGGTCCCAGGGTGACCAGGCTGTGCATGATTCCTCCTGATGCTGGACTCCAGCCCAGCTCTGGTTCTTTCTGCAGGCAGAGCACCCCAAGTCCAAACCCTTTCATTTGTAGGCTGTCTTCTGCAAAAGACTGTTTTCCATTATTTCTTGTCTCAGCACACACTTTTGTAATATATACTCAAAGTGTACCTGAACTGTGTACAAACAATGATTAGTTGCCTAAGGATTACAGCAGGGTAAGACTCCACACACCAGTTTTGATCTAAGAACGCCCTAAAACTGCCAACACTTATGACATGGCACTTCATTTGGGGCTGCCTGCTGCACCTGCAGTTATGAGAACAGCTCCATCCCTGCCTACAAGAGCAGCATGTCCTAAAACATTTAGATTTAACTGTTAAACCATGAAGCTGACATTTAACACCAACAGCTAGCCACTTTAGTTATGTCTAGGAGACATTTAGTACCTTCAATACTTCTGGAAGTTTAAGGAAGTAGAACACGTTCCCACATGCCCAAGAAGTTATATAAAAATCACCTTACCTCATAAATGTTGGGGTGCCACATTTTGGTCAGAAATCTGAAGGTAGGTGGTGAATATGGATAGTCGATAGGAAATTTAATATGAGCCTGGAAAAAAGCAATGTATTTTAGTTACAAAACAAAACCAAAACAAAAGAGATAAACAAGAAACCATTAAAGTGAAAAGCTGGAAAAAACTGTATCAATTAAGGCCATTAACTTTCTCATTTTATACACCAGTGCTCATGGGGCCCCACAGTATAACTCTTTCTTATAAGCAAAACACCAACTGAACAAGAAGAATCTAAACACCTGGACTGACCTGGGCTGGTAATCCTCAGGAAACAAGCCAAAAGGCATCTGCCATGTGCTAATTCAAGAAGCACAATCCAACAAGTGTTGTTAAACAAGGTAAGATAAGATTTGGAAAGCTAGAACACAAGATACTACTGCTGTCTTCCTGGGTTCAGAAGCAGGCTAGAAGTTTGGCTAAGGTAAACAGACCTATTTTACATTTGCCAGTGCAAATATTTTAAATTACTATTTCTGTGCAGGGGAAAAAAAAATTGTTAGATACTTGCTTTACTGTGATCCAATTTTTTTTTTCTTTTTGCTTTTCCTGTGCAAGAGATAAGCAGGTCCACCTACCTGTGTTGCTAATACTACATTTCTTGCCACTACAAGCATTTCCCACACCTGAATACCACCTGTGTCTGTTTAATAAATCAGTGCAGCCTGATGAACCAAATACTGATGGGCAATGACAGCAAACATTACCTTCCAGTGGTCAGCAGCCAGCTGGGAGGCAAGACTGAGCTGAGTCAGTTGTGGGAAAGCTGCAGAGATCTGAGCACTGGATATTAACTTTTGTGCTGTCCTGCTATTCACAGCAGTCAGAAAAGTCAGCCAGCAGGAGGGGGGGTTGAATCTGGACTGATTAAATACCACCACCCCCAAAGGAGGACTTGCACACTGGTTGCTGCACTGTGGAGCACAGACCCTTCCCTTGACACTGGCTCAACTTGCCAAGAAAGTCCCACGAGTCTAGCACAGGATCTCCAGAGAAGCACCTCCTGGCCCCTGCACCACAGTCAGGCTCACATGTCACTGAGAATGCAAGAAGAGATCCCAGAATCAAGATGCACATGATGAGAGCAGAATCCCAGGTCACCTCCTTCCACTGAAGTATCTAACGATGCCACCTGGACACAGGGTGCTGACCTTGTTCAACAGGACAAGTTATGGGAAGTTTTATTCCCCAGAAACAGAAGTAGGCAACAAAACAAATTGGATTACTGAGGCATTAAGTATCTGGCTGCAGTTTCACTTATAGAACAGCATATGCCTTTGTCTTGCAACCAAATTTTGTGCAGAGAGTGCCAGGTAGCTGAGAAAACATGGTTGTTCACCTTTGTGAAACAAATTCAGCTGCTCATGTGGCTTTACATTCTGTGTGTGCCTGCTTGTCATACTGCCTGTATGTGGGTACGTTACAGCAGCACTGAGTTCTGACTCCACAGTCATTTCCCACAGCATGCTCACAACCAGAAGATTTATGAACCATTTAAACAATCCTAGTCCACAGTTTAAGGTCAGTTACACAAATGGCACTGCTCCAAGAAGAGCAAGGAAATGTCACTGCAGCAAGGACATGCCTGACTCTACAACACGCCACTCTGCACTGGGAGCAGAGCAGAGATTTACCCAGGGCAGAGCAGATTCACTTCAGTTCAAAGCTACATCATGTAGCTGCACACTCCTCTGGACCGCTGGCAGTTTCCCCAAGAAAGCCCATTCTTGTGCGTAAGTGCAGTTTTGTGAGATCTAAGACATAAAACAGCCCAAGGACTGAGATAAAAAAAAAACACAAGAGAGAAAAAAACCTCAGGGTTGAGCTAGCTACAAGATTTCTTGGCAGAACCTATGTGTCTTCTATACAGGTAGAGTTTCTAAGCAACAAAAAAAGCACATACTACCAGTAGTGTACGAGCATTACCATGTTTATATCCCACATACGTAGTCAAGGCGTTGAGGACACAGGGTCATTCCTCCCAGTAAAAATGCTCTGCTCTCAAATTGCCTAACTCTGAGGGTTTTGCTTCAAGATCACCAATTCAAAAGCCGAGTCTGGAGCACCAGTTACGGCCTCTGTACGTGATGCAGACTCACACAGAGGCTGTAGATCTGTAAGACTGTGGCAGGTGCACCTGCCCGATGAGAGCGGAGCTTCTTGGCTGCTGAAGGGCAGCAGCTCGGGGCTGCCGTTGTTCCCAGGGCCTCGTGGTAACTGGGGCCTCTGGGCAATGGGAGCCGCTATCGACTACAGGTCAGGTTGGGCCTGGGTATGAACGGAGTCCCCTGGGGGGGCCACTGGGAGCTCGTCCCCTGGAGCAGCAGCTGCGGTCGAGGACTCTCCCCTGGGGTCAGGACGCTGCCCAAGGAAACTCCTCGAGGTGCCTTGGGTTGGGACGCTGCCCTGAGCAGGTCCTCGAGGTTGAGAGCCCTCACTTGTCAGGTGAATGAGAAAGCGTTTGGGGTTGTCGTTAAACACCAGGGAGCAGGGCTTTGTCTGCGTTCTGGGTTGCCGTTAAACCCTAGAAAGTTGTTCTGTTTTCCTCTCACAGACATTCAAACCTGTAGCTTACGGAGAGCTAGATAACTGTGTTAATAAGAATTTTTTATCATTTTTGGTGGTTGGCTGTTTAATTGAGAGCATCCGTAACAAAGACTCTTTCAAACTTCTAAATCCTGTTTTGCAGCCACAACTCTTTAATAAAAAAACAAGGGTTATCTTCCTGCCTGCAATAACAATCATTACAGAATTAAAGCTGGTATTTTGCCACATGAAGGATGTCTCTTGAGCTCTGATGCCCGAAAATGCAACTGGAGAGAATCTAAAGAAATCTTTTTTTCTCGTGTGGAGGCAGCTGAGACCCAAGCTTGCATACTCTGAGAAATCAGGCACATTACTTGTTGATAAGCCACTGCTAACTAGCCTGCAAGTGTTTAGCACACTGAGATGCTGTACTGGAACATAAAGCAAGTGAAGCTCCTCTACAAACCTGGTTTCAGAGTCAAAAGACACCAAACTAGGAAACCCCACGTTACAGGCAGGGATTTTTTCAAAAAAGAAAACATTACTCCTAGGTCCCTGTGTTGAGATCATCCGGTATCTGAAAAGTGAAACCAAATGCTTTTCCAGAGCATTACAAAGAGGTCCCAGAGAATTGCGCCACACCTCTTCTGTGAGAGAAATCATGGGAAATTATGTAAACTCACTTTGCTCTCACTTAATGCTATTTAAGTTTCTGTGGGTTAAGCCAAGAATTTCCAAGACAAGCTGCAAGACTGCTTGCAAAGATGCAGCAAGAGCAATTACAGGTCAGCTTTTTCACTGAAAGCCCAATTCTAAACATATTAAGAGAAAAAAAGACCAAATTAGGCAATAAACTTAGAGCTCACAGAAAGTCTTCTTCTCTACAGTTTCATTGATGTAAGACAAATTAGCGATCTGAGCTTATTTCTGAAAACATCAGCCAGGCTGCTAGGTACTAGAGAGTGGCTGAGTTTTAGGGCAGCTTGTTGTTAGCTCAGTTACAGCCAGACAGACTAATTCAGGAGGACTACAGATGCAGCTTAGTCCCCCACCTACAAGTACCCAACTGTTACTGCACTTTATAAGTGACTCCTCTAGCTGAGCTTAAACTGAACAGATTTTAACCTCCAGCTCACCGTGGCTCTTTGACACCACTGAACATACGCAACAGCCAGAAAGGTGAAAACCAGTTCAGTTATCAACCCATTCCCCTCTTTCCCAATTTATAACTACTTATAGTTGCTAGAAAAATAATTAACTCCTCTGATGTTACATCGAATAGACCATCCTGACCGAAAATTCAGCCATTTACAGCTACTGCACAAGAGCTTCAACCTCTTAAGTTATATCACAACACTGACAATATTGCCACCAGCACAGTCGCTCTGTTTCCTACTTTATTGCCTTACTCCCATGCACCCTTATTAGTGACCGTACTTCATGTTCCTTCATGGATAAGGCAAAGCCATAGCAAAATACAGGTGTGCCAGAAAAACAAAAATACAAACCTAATGCTCCTAACCAACCACTGAATTAAGTACTGATTCAATCACTAGGAATAATTACTACAATGACTTTGTTCCTGGAGATCTTGCCATGCAGTTGACTGACATTTACATATAAATATTATCTCCCTCTCAGTGGCAAGTACTAATGCAGGCAGGACTCCCTCCGAGCTTCAGCTGCCTAGAAATTCAGTATTTATTCCAGCCTAGCTGTATATGACACTTCTGTAGTCTGACATTGATTTCTTCTGCTTTTCTCAAGCTGACAAAACACAGATTCCAGATTTTTAGGCAGCAAGGTTAGGAATGGTGAATACATCCTCCTGCTCACTGCAGAGAGGCAACAAGGGGAAGACAACACATTTCCTGGAAAGCTATCAGCATCACAACTGACCTGATTTGTGGGAAATCAGGAGCACCAGCAGCTTTCACAGTGGCCAACAAACCGCACCAATTAGTGTTTCTGGAAGTGCCAGTTAAAAATAATTTTTATTTTAAAACATCACAAGCTTAATGCAAGCACTATGAAAACGCAGCTTCAGTGAAACTGAGCATCTTTTGCAAACTTTATTGAAGATCAGTCACAAAGGAAGTGTTTGAGTTTTTAAACTAGTCTGTGCTTTTTTTTTAATAATTATCTGCTACAGCCAGCCCACAGACAAGCTCCTACCAACTCTTTGTGTGGGTGCCACCAAGGTCTCCTACAGATCACCCATCCTGTCCGAGTAACAACACTTGCAGACAGCACAAGGCCTCATGATTTTTCTTTGTAACAGGCATAACCAGGCTCCTTGCTGTGCACATCATCACTTCCCGTAACTGCACATCTAGTGAATGGCCCCTGCCAGCGTGCCGCCAACTACGCCATACGTTTAACATTCAAGAAAGCCAACAGGAGTAGGAACTACAGACCACTACTTGGTTAAGTGTTAATATCTAATCCTACAAAATGCCCTTTACCGCTTCTAGTGCATCAAGCATTGATACAATTCATCTAATGGATTCTCCTC